ACATTTACAAGCACTAAAGTGAAAACCACATCTACTTCGATGCAGCCCCAGCCATCCACCTCTGCACAGAGCAGTAGTCCATCAAACTCTGCCTGCTCTATATGGTCTCAACTACTCTAGAGAACCAAATATTCTCTCCAGAGATTGAGCTGGAGGATAAAGTACCATTGATATCCAGAGAACAACCTCAAAAGGAACCAGAAATTGCCATTCTAAGCACCCCTAGCTCGTCAAATCGTAAGTTTTTTTCTTGTATTTTAGTAGCAATATATAATAAAACTATGGTGTGGTAAAAATGCTAATTATAAACATTGTTACTTAGGGAGGGAAGGGGACGAATTTTTAAATGTAGCAAAGAAAATTTGCGAAACGTTAGATACCCAGAGGGCAAAAGGATGCTAATAGAACTTTTGCTGAGTATGCCTACTCGAGGCTGGCTGAAATGCCAGCAGATGAAGCGAAAAAAAAAGAAGAAAAGTGTTATTAGTTTTAGAGGATGATGAATAGTAACTATACATCATAACTGTTATAAGTTTAGTTTATGGTTTATTAAGTTAGTTTATTAGTTTAGTTCATTATTTTGTAGTTTAAAGTTTATTAGTTTAGTTCATTATTTTATAGTTTATTAGTCTAGTTCATTTATTTATTGTTATAGTTTATTAAATATTTTTATCTTTATTTTGGTTATTCATCCCACTTGCCCTGATATAAATATATATTTTTGTCTGCTACTTATACCTTAAAACATTAAAATTAAACACAGTTTATAACCCTAATGGCAATTTGCACCGTTTTGGATAAACAATGTTTAATTTTTTAAACAGTGATTATAATCAACATCATACCATTGGATTTTGTTTGTTTAACTGTGAAACAAAAATGTTTAAAAAGTTAAACACTGTTTATCCAAACGGTGCAAATGGCCATAAGAAAAATAATATTTAATAAAATAAAAATTACTAATCATCACTACCTATATTAACTATAAATTATTACAGTTCAAAAGATCTAGGTAAATTAACAAAAAAAAATTAATAGCGTTCTTTATAAAAGAAAAGAAAAATGTTTTATACAAAATTATTGAATAAAAAGGTTTATTGTATTAACAAAAATAGAGGTGTTAGGTAGCCACATAAATATAATAATAATGTATAAAAAGCCTGTAGATATACAGTGTGTCTAACAAAACTTACCTATTAAAAAAACATACTACAAATTTAAAGATATACATTATTTTAATTAATTTAATTTAACAATAGTCCACTGTCAATAATTTGTTCCTGCCAAGAAACTTTTCCCACATCTGAAACCAAATAATCGGCTAAAATGTTTCTATTTTCCTAGAACTCTCTACGGGACACATTAGTAGATAATCTACCAACAGAAGTTAGAGGAGTCTACTCATCTCTCCAACCTCCATTTATCATTCCTTCGGTGTCAACATAGTTTGATGGACAATAGTCATGTGACAGCTATGGTTGGCAATAGTTGTGAAGAACAACTACTGCCTTGACAAAATTGTTAACATTTTGTACTTTTGCATTTATGTTGGTTTTTAAAATTCGCCAACGTGCTGCCAAAAATTCCAAAAGTGTTTTCAATTAGCTGACGTACCCTTGACAACCGATAATTCTTTGTGTTCTTAATAGTTTTTTTCCTGGGTATAGCCTCACAACATTAGTGTTAGCTGTTGTAATCGCCATGAATGTTTGTAGGCATATGGATTAATATATGTTTTGGTGCCTGAAGAAGCGACAATAAAGTAGCGAAACGTCGCAAAAATATTGTTTCCTTTCGAGCCTTCCCAAACACCCACGATTTTTTTTCTGCATAAGCCCCAATGTCCACAAATGTAAATTTATATGCACTATCACAGGCTGCCAAAAGCACAATGCTAAAGTTTTTTTTTGTAGTTAAAATACAATGTGCTTTAATATTGATGTGCTTCCCATCCAGGGCCCCTATGCAATTTGGAAAGTTCCACCAAACGACGAATGTCATGGTCTCCAGGCATAACTGTCAAAGAGACTGTTTGACATTTTTTACCGGTATAGCAAGGTTTTAACAAAGTGTTGTTTTTTTTCAAAATGTGGAGCGTTTTAGACGATATACCTCTAAGTTATCTAAAATTGTATTGGCAAGCTAAAGAGAAAGAAATGTATAGAAAAGGTATGTATATGTAACTTTTTAAATAATGGGTTTTAGTTTGTATCTTAGATCATCTCAGCTTTTTATTAGTGATTCAGAAAATAATTTTAAAGTCTGTTTAATGCCCATGGGTAATAAAATCACTATGTATAGCAGGATATTTTATTGTCAGCATATAATAACCTTTTCATTATTGACCATTGTTTTACAAAGAGTTTTTCTACTGCCATAGCTTTACTGAATACTGAAATAGAGTATACTAAGATATGGCTATTCGATGTTTATGTTTACGTCATCAATGATAGTAAGCGCATTCACACATGGGTTATGCTGGCGGCAGCATTATGACGCAAACATAAACATCGAAGCCATACGAAGAATAGCCATGCTTTATGCCTACAGCTTAGTTGTAAAGATAGGAATAATTTCAATATTTATCTTAAAATAATAACATGATAATAATTGGTTTTTAAAAATGCATGACACAAAAATCAAATTGGTGTGCACAGAAAGTTTTTGGAAAATGTGTGTAGATTATTAATTATTAATGAATTTATTCCTGGCTTTACGACGACACCGTATATTAAGTTTTACCTAGTAGCATGCTCCCTAAATTAGTGAGGACAACTTATAAGGGTTCTTTTTAGGATTGTTAATTCTGTCAACAAATTTTTTTATCTTTTAGAAGTATCACGAGAAGATAGATGGATAGAACAACATAGTGAAGCATCTGCTTGTTACGAAGAAGTATTTAGCGCATGCCCTAGATGTTTGGCACTGTTATGCTGGGATTATTTTGGTGACACAAATACTCCTGTGGGCCCGTGCGAAAATAATACAAAAATATTTTATTTTTAGAACATTTACAAGTACTAAAGTGAAAACCACATCTACTTCGATGCACCCCTAGCCATCAACATCTGCACAGAGCAGTAGTCGATCAAACTCTGCTTGCTCTATGTGGTCAACCACTCTAGAGAACCAAATATTCTCTCCAGAGATTGAGCTGGATACTATTGATATCCAGAGAACAACCTCAAAAGGAACCAGAAATTGCCATTCTAAGCACCCCTAGCTCGTCAAATCGTAAGTTTTTTTCTTGTGTTTTACTAGCAATATGTAATAAAACTATGGTGTGGTAAAAATGCTAATTATAAATATTGTTACTTTCGGCTAAAACTGGAAAAAGAAAGGGGAGGGAAGGGGACGAATTTTTAAATGTGGCAAAGAAAATTTGCGAAACGTTAGATACCCAGAGGGCCAAAGGATCCGAGCAAAAGGATTCTAACAGAAATTTTGCTGAGTATGCCTACTCGAGGCTGGCTGAAATGCCAGCAGATGAAGCAAAAAAAAAGGAAAAAAGTGTTATTAATTTTAGATCATCGGGATCATTTTGGTGACACAAACACTCCTGTGGGCCCGTGCGAAAATGGCCTCAGTCATAACTTTGCAGTTTTTAAGGTCCAAAGGATCCGAGCAAAAGGATTCTAACAGAACTTTTGCTGAGTATGCCTACTCGAGGCTGGCTGAAATGCCAGCAGATGAAGCAAAAAAAAAGGAAAAAAGTGTTATTAATTTTAGATCATCAGGATCATTTTGGTGACACAAACACTCCTGTGGGCCCGCGCGAAAATGGCCTCAGTCATAACTTTGCAGTTTTTAATAAAGTTTCAAATCATTGTTATCCAGAGCCAAACCAACAAGAAGAATCTGCAATAATACCTGAATTGATTGACTGAAACCATTTTGTAGTTGATGGGTGTCCTAGGGAAAATATTGAAGCACAAGAACATGAACTTTGCGTTAAAGAAAACGAAACGTCAACAAGAAAAGTCAACAAGAAGGGGATGTCGAAGAAATTAAAAAACAAAGGATTTGAATATCGAAGCAGTTTTTCAAAGAAAATAGTATCTCAAAGAAGAAATTTGGGGACTTCATGTAATATACAATTATGTTTAAAAAATGGCAAAGTGTTTAGAATTTACTAAAGAACAAAGACTAGCACTGCTTAACGAGTTCTATGATCTAGGTGATTTAACTAGACAACGAGACTTTATTATTAGGTTTGTGATTACCAAAGATGTCACTCAGAAAACAGTAAAACATACGTCACGTCGCAAGCTATCATTGGTGTATACCTGGCCTAAGGCTAAAAAAAAGGAATTGAAGACTTGAAATGAAAACCGGGCTAAGTGCCAAAAATTTAAAAAATAACTTTTAACCTCTAATGCGTGCTAAATGCCATCGCCAATAACGCATAAAGCGGGCTATGTGCCCTACGCTCTGGAACTATTTTAAATACTGTAACAAAGATGTCGCCCGAGTCAAGTCCTGCATATTGTGTTTTGAAAACCGTGCTAAGTGCCACTACAGTATCCACATGGCACAGCTGTTTCGAGTCACATTTTAAGTTTTCGAAGACTGTTCTTGTGTTCACGTTTTTTTTTACATATTGCTTGTTTATAATGGAAACTAATAAAAATAATAAAAAGAAAAATAGAAAATCTGGCGAAGGTTGCGCCAAATCGAATAATAAACTGAGAAGAAACCAAGGTTTAGAATACGTTGGCAACAATAAGGAATTCGTGAAAACCAAGGCCGCACCAGCAGCAACAGTAAGATGGCGGTTTTTATCTAATTTCAAACGTTTTATTTTACTTTTGTTTTAGGTTGATTGTAAGTGCCGATACAAGTGTGCTGATATTCCATATGAACAAAAATGTACCCTCTTTAGGGAATTCTATGCGCTGAGTGATAATGTAAAAGTAAAATTCGTATATAATGGGCCTTTTGACGGTTTGTCCTATAAAAAAGAGGCATGGAACATATGAAGTTTCTACTGAAAGTAGAAGGCAAGCCACAGTTTGCTTTACATTACCTAATGGCTCAGGTGATGTTGTGCAGGTATGTAAGAAGACATTCTTGCATAGTTTTGGAATATCTAAAAGGCGCGTTGAAACTCTTGTCAAGTTAAAGAAACAGGGTGAATTTACTTATGTGGAGCGTAGAGGAAACAAAACTAAATATAGAAAATTTTCACCTGCAGATGAAGATTTGGTAATTCAGCACATTTCTTCCTTCCCAAGGGAACAAAGCCATTACAGTAGGTTGAAGAGTCAGAAGGAATATTTAAGTCAAGATCTAAATATCAGTAGATTGTATTACTCATTTAAAGACCGCCATCCTAATTCTGCAGTAATGTACCGTTTTTACTTTAGTATCTTCAAAAGAAAATTCTCAAATTTAAGCTTCCACCATCCTCGAACCGATACCTGCAAAACCTGCGATCTGTTGAATATAAAGATAAAAGCAAATCCAAATGACAAAGAGAGCAAGAGAAAACTTGATCTGCATCATAGACAAGCTGAAAAAGCAATGAACACCATGAAAGAAGATCACTGCTTATCCCAACTTCCTCTAAGTGGCACATGCTCCATTTCTATTGATCTACAACAAGTGCTGTCTCTTCCAGCCTTAACACATGGGCAAATGTTTTATCTTCGACAACTCTCATGTTATAATTTTGGTATTCATGTAGGTGACACTAATAAGGGACTTATGCATCTATGGCACGAGGGAATAACTGGACGAGGTGGGAATGAGATTGCCTCTTGTGTTTTAAAAACATTACTTAGTGGTTTTACGAAAAAACAAAAACTGGTGGTTTGGAGCGATAATTGCGTCGGCCAAAACAAAAACAAAATGTTGCTGTTTTTGTGGATTTACTTGGTTACGAAAGGATACTTTCAAGAAATAAATCAAGAAGTTTTAATGTCAGGGCATTCTATTTTAAGTTGCGATAGAGATTTCGCGCATATAGAGAAGAGAAAGAGAGTCGAAAAGTGCGAGGTGCCTTTTGATTTAGTAAGATTGATAGCAACTGCAACTCCAAACAATCCCTTTACGGTAACTCTTATGCAGGCTGAGGATTTCTTTGACTTTAAGGCTGCCGCTGATTTAACCTTAAACACAACCAGGACAAAAATTTCTACAGCCAAATGGATTCAAGTTTCAGCTGACAATCCCAAACAGGTTAAAATTAGGGAAACCCTAAACGAAATGGAAGCGTGGAAAAACATCAATGTTTTCAAGAAAAATGTTACGGAACAATCGATTAGGGATATGGTTGTACCGCAACTCAATTGCCAAAATCAGATTAAAGAAAATAAGAAACCTGATTTACGAGCCGTCTTACCATTTTGAAGCCTGAAAATAGACGTTTTTACGAGAACCTATTAATTTAAATTTCGTTCTTACTTGTTATTTTGTAAAATATTTCCATTAAAGTTACTTTGAAATAAAAAAAAAAAAGTTGTTTTATTTTTTATTACTTACATATTCTAAAAATGGGATAAGTGCCAATGGTATATCGAGGTGTTGGCATTTAGCACAGTTTTTGAATCCCAAGGTTGGCACATATCACTTCTTACAAAACTTCATGTTTTTGATTTTATAGAGGCTCTCAAACTGATCCCATTAACAAATCAGTTTTATAGGATTGAAGTATTATAGATGATAAATGTATACATTTTTTTGTGGATTTTTTTTATGGAAGAATAAACTGTAAAAACAAAAAACATTGATTTTCTCAAAATTTTGATTTTGGCACTTAGCCCGGTTTTCATTTCAAGTCTTCAATTATGAAGACCACTACTTTCCAAATCCATAATTAACAATCTCGAACCAAAAACCAAAACTTTTAAACACTTTTCGTCTCTAAAATCGTACTACACACTCTGCTACTCTCAAGCAAAAAGTAAACAAAAATGTAAGGTTAGATCTGCCCAAACCGGCCAAAGCCAACTGTCAACAGTCGAGTTTATAAATGAGACTTAAAAAGGGGACTTAAGAGGGCGACTTTTTTGTTAAATGACTCTAAATTCAAAAATAGAAAGTTCCTAAAGTGTTACATATGCGTTTTTGTTTGCTTGGCCACTAAGGCTGTTCGCTTAGAACTCAGTACCGCAGCTTTTATTTCCGCATTGAAAAGATTCACTGCCAGACGAGGTATTTGCCAAGGTATTTATTCAGACAATGGCACTCAGTTTATTGGAGTCAATAATGAGCTCGCCTCTATTTGTGCTGTTTTTGAGAACAGTGGAATGCAGGAATTTCTGGACCGTAGCAAGATACAGTAGCATTTTATACCTCCCCGATCACCACATTTCGGAGAAATGTGGGAGGCTGCTGTGAAATCGGTAAAGCAACATTTAAAACGAATTCTAAATGACGCGAAACTCACCTATGAAGAGTTTTATACATTCCTGGTGCAGGTAGAGGGAGTTTTAAATTATCGGCCTTTGACGCCACTCACTGATGATCTTAACGAACTTGAGGCGTCATTTTTTAATTGGCCGTGCTCTGAATGCTGTACAGGAACCTGACCTATCCCAGACACCTAGTAATCGCTTAACACGTTTGTGGACACTACTGCTATAGCCGTCAATTTCACGTTACTTGTGTGGGAAACGACGGTCCAAGCCGTCACGTCTATTTACACTTATAATCAAACGACGCACAGAAGGGTATCTGAAAAAATTAGGTGGCCAAAATTTGATTTGACAAATGTGACCTTTTTTAAGAAACAGCAATATTATTGTTAAGATGACATACGAATACACTATATATTATGGTTTTTTTCCACCTTAACTCTTTGAGGAGCACCGGTATAAAAATTGTACCCGGAAAATATATGTATTAGTGGGGCACCGGTCTAAAAAATGTACCACCCCTTCAAACATTTTTAGCTAGTTGTGCAATGGAGCATTTTTTCGACCAACGTAATATTGGTCGCAGTCTGACGGTTTGTTGATTTAAACTGTTGCACGTGGCAGTTTCGGTTCTGCGATCAGTTTTATTGATAAAATCATAGCGTTAAGGTGGTTGCAAGTGAAAGTCTGCTGAATATACAGAAAAGTAAGTGAAATATAATAAAATATAGGTGCTTTTCCTGTAATAATAATATATTTGATCATTTATAACAATAATATTATTTTGGTACAAGAAAAAAATATTTTTTTTTGTTTTATTTTGGTAGTTTGTTGTGGTACTATAAGTGTACCGTTGCACGCTTAGGCAAATATTCTATCCTGATTATGCCACATTATTTTTTAGATATTCAAGATATGGATTCGTTACCATTTAAGCTAAAAGGTTGGAGTTATGATGACCTGCAAGATGAATTGAATAATATATATAACGACGCGGAGCCAATACCTTCCGAGCCGGAGTCTGTATTTAGTGAGTCGGAAGATGAAGATGACCAAATACTGTTGGACCAAACTACACCTGCTTTGAATTTTACTGATTCTGATACTGATCCAGAAGATAACGTGCCATTATCTATTTTAGCAACTAATCTGCTTCCTGTACCACCCGTAAACTCTAACGACTGGTCTAAGCTTGTTGAACCAGTACCCCCCTCAAACTTTACGTCAGAGTCCGGAATTAAACCTGTTGTGAGAGAAATGGTTGATCCTACTCCGTACAAACTTTTCAAGTTATTTTTTAATGATGGTCTGCTTGACCACATAGTATTCCAGACAAATTTGTACGCACAGCAGTCTTTCAGCAAACAAAAACTTACCGAAATCTCAGAAATAAAAACCTTTCTAGGCATAAATTTATTAATGGGAATTAAACGATTACCGAGCTATAGGGACTACTGGAGTACTTCTCCTGATATAAATGATGCTTACATAAGTGGATTGATGCCTGTGAAGCGCTTTAGTTGGCTCCTTTCGAACTTCCATCTCAATAATAACGTGCTAATGCCTAAAAAGGGAGAAGCCCACTACGATAAATTGTACAAAGTGCGACCATTATTGATTGCGTTAGCTGAGAATTTTGAAAGGTGTATGGCTCCAAGTAGGGAACTTGTAATAGACGAGTCAATGATAAAATTCAAAGGAAGAAGCTCGCTCAAACAGTACATGCCCAAAAAAACTATTAAACGAGGATACAAGGTATGGATTTTAGCGAATAAAAATGGCTACTGTCAAAAATTTGATATATATATACCGGTAAAGCGGAGGACGCCGAAAAACAATTAGGTGCCAGAGTTATTAAACAAATGCTCAATGGATTGGAAAATAAAGAGCACATTGTCTATTTCGACAACTTCTTCAATAGTACCGAACTTCTGGAAGACCTGAAGAAAAAACTAATTCATGCCTGTGGTACCGTAAATCCATCGAGAAAAACTTTGCCGGTGTTTAAACCGGATCGAAAATTGAAGAGGGGGGAATTTGAAGTTTTTAGCAATCCATCAAGAATTGTAGCTTTTAAATGGAGAGATAAGCGTAGTGTCTATTTACTGTCAAATTTTCATTCTCCTTTTGGAACCACTGAGGTCAATAGGAAAGAAAAGAATGGTACTACAACCAAAGTTCGTTGTCCGCAAGCGCTGTCAGATTATAACGCCAACATGAATTTTGTTGATAAATTTGATCAAAATCTGAATTTGTACAAAATAAACAGGAAATCAAAAAAATGGTGGCACAGGATATTCTTCTACTTTCTCGATGCAGCAGTAGTAAACGCTTTCGTTTTATATAAAGAACTTCATTCGCCAAAAATATCCATGAAAGAGTTTAGAAGAAGCGTATCACAAGGACTAGTTGCAGACCTGGTTATAAAAAACAAAAGGAAAGCTTATAGCTGTGGGAAACAGTTGCTAAAAAACAGTTTAAGCCATTCATTCCCCTAGAAATTAGGCACAACCAAAGTTCCCATCAACCGGAAAGAGATTCTCGGCGGCGATGTGCAAAATGCAGTACATCAAAACAGCAAGTTCGTACCAACTGGATATGTTCGGTTTATCGAGTTCCTCTCTGTCTGGGGGCAAACAAGACATGCTTCCAGGACTTCCACACTTTCGAGTAAAATTATACTGGGGCAATGGTACTGTATATGTACCACGTAATGACGTCATTATTTATATATAAAAATTGTTTTTCATAGGTTTAGAGTTTATTTTGAATATTTGTTCTTAGTTCTGTTAAATATTTTTATTAAAAAGTAATGAAAAAAATCATGCCCCTCTAGCACTTTTATATACTGACAAATGTTGCCCTTCAAAGAGTTAAGGAATTTTTGTTTTTGTTTCCATGCCTCAATACAAAACAAGCATATTTATTTGAGTTATTAAGACAAAGTTTGAAATTCGATACCTTTTGTAGTAGCTACTTTTCTTGAAAACGTTAATATGGATATTGATGAAGCAGGTAAATACTACAAATTATTAATATATGTTGTTCAATATATTCGATGTAACTGTTCCTAAAAGTAAATTTAAAAGATTTGACGTTTTAAATTTTAAGTAATGCTAGGTTTTTATTATAGTTCCGTGTATTTCCCGCCTATTTTTTTTTTAAATTGTCTAGTACACATATTTAAAAAGTTTAGACCCGATAATATCCGATTTTCCAAGATTTTTCTTTTTAAAAAAATCATGTAATTTCACACAATTATAAAACTTGTTAATTTTTATTTCGTTATTTAATTTTAGGACCATCTGGCGTGAAGATATTCACCAAAAAGCAATTATTTGATATATAATGAACGAATAAGAATTGCCAAATATAACAGAAAAACTGTGTTTTTTAAAAAAACTTTTTACTGTCTTACGATTATTTCTCGGATGACTGTAAAAAAGAAATAAAACATAAATTTTCAAGATTTAGGGCCGAGTTAAAAAAAATGAACAGAAGCAAGTTTTCAGAAAAATTATTTTCTCAAAAAAATGCTACGTGGCTTGAAACATCTTTTTGTTTGCCAAAAGCAGTGCCAAACATGGGAAGACCTAAAAAGTCGTTTTTTGAATTGAGTGAGAGAAGTAAAAGAAGAAAGGCCAAGGAAGTTCTTACTAAAACAGATGCCAAGTTACTTACCTACGCGCCTCAAATGCAATTGCATGCAAGACATCGAACTGCATCAAAGTTAGTTTGATAACAACAGAAGATCCCTCGATGACGATCCATCTAATACGTTTTCTTCTGACGGGGAATCATCATCTAACTAAAAATGGACAAGGTTTTTGGGAATTTATAATTATTTTGTATTTTTTTAGAGTTAACAATTAAATTTCCATATTTTCCTCTTTCTGCTATTCTTATATTGTATTTTTTACCCATACAAATCGTGTAAATTACAAAATTTCACATTAGTTTGCTATTATTCCAAATTAAAATCAATAAAATACATTTGACCGCCTAATTTTTACAAATATCCCGCTGTGCGACGGCTGGCCCCGTCACATATTTGGAGGTGCCCTATGATAGGTAGAAGAAACTGTCCTAACAGGGACCATTCAAAACCAATAAATTGTCCCATTTACGGGTTAGATTTGACCACGTGCGAAATACTTGCAGGTCTGTTTATATTTTGTTACGACGCACGGTGATATATTTGCTCATTTTAGCCGGCCAAAAGGTCATTTTTAAAAATTAATTTTTATGGCCAACGAAAAATGTTATCTTGAAGCCCAGGAGATAAGGCATCTAAAAATAACTTGCTTTTTGCCATACAAACAGGTATTCGTATTTTAGAATTTTTAGAATTTAGAATGAGTGGGAGGGGGGTTAATCACTTCGACCTTAGAGATCCATTGTGTCCCCCTTTCTTGAATCATAACTCATCATACAGTCCCAGGGGTTTGACAAAAGCCAGTATCTGGGACGGTTTTATAGAGGGTAGTTCTCCATCTCCAATATCAGTCGTACCAAAATTCATGGCACGAATGGTTGTCATCTCGGCGCACTCAGTGATGAGGTGTACTGGTGTTTCCCCATCTTCCCCACAGAATCTGCATTCGCCGTTTCTTCTTAGTTTCAATCTACTGAGGTGTTCGTTGAGGAGACAGTGTCCTGTTAAAAACCCCGTGACAATCCGAAGATTGTTCTTACTCAGACCCAGGAAGATCTGTGATTTTTCTTCATCATAAGCCCTCAGAAACTTCTTCGAGTGTCTTAGACCATTGGAAAATTTCCATTCCAGGTTGCGGATGGAATCTTCCAAGTTCTTGAGTTCCGCCTTGAGTTGGTTACCACTTGGAAAGCAGAACGGTTCTGGTTCAGTTAGTGGAGTGTTCGCTGCTTTCCTAGCTAGATTATTTGCTTTTTCATTGCCTTCTATCCCTTGGTGAGCAGGCACCCAGTGTAGGAGGACTTTGTTTTCTTTGCCTAATTTATTCAGCTTCTCTATGCATTCTTTGACCAATTTCGAATTGATTGATACTGAGTTGATCGCCTTTAACGCTGCTTGACTATCAGATAAGATGGCTATTTCTTGTGTCCGATAGTTCCTATCTAAGATAAGTTGTACGCATCTCTCGATAGCGTAGATTTCTGCCTGTAGGATACTAGGGCCCATTGGTTCGGAGTAATTAGCTCTCGGCCCAAACACTCCGATCCCTGTTCCCGTATTGGATTTGGAAGCATCAGTATACCAAGTTATGGTATGGTCTTTTAACTGATGGGCAAGCGTTTCGCTCTTCCAATCCTTCTTATTGCTCAATACTACATTGACATGTTTGTCAAAGTTGTACGTTCTTGGCATATCGTCCACTGGGAGTTGCAGGAGTGGTACTTCCTTTTTGAGGGTGTTCCAAGCCCCTGATCTGACAATTCTCCCAGTACTAATTCCGTTAGTGACCATTCTAATCATTGTCGCATTGGCATATCTACCAATGACAATGTGCAGTGGTGTTAGATCTAGAATGACCTCCCATTGCTGCTGTTGGACAGGTTCTCATGGCTCCTGTGATGCAAAACACATGCTAGTCTCTGGACTTTGCATAGGTTTAGCCTTGCCATCCGTTGCTCTAGTTTTTGTGACCAGGCAACTGCTCCATAGGTAATCATGGGTCTTACTATCATGGTATACATCCAGCGCAAAATGTTAGGGGAGCAGCCTACGCATCTATTTCTGGCCAGTCTTCTGCATATCATGAGAGCCTTTGTGGCTTTGCTGGTAGTGTTCTTAATATGCCTGTTCCAAATGAGTTTACTATCCAGGGTTATACCCAGATATTTAACTTCCTGTGATGGCAGTATTTCCTTTCCATCTAGTTGGATTCTTTTCAAGTTTTTCAGACTTCACTTTCTGGTAAATGGCACTATCGCGGTTTTGTCTGAGTTGATACACAGCCCGACAGTCCTGCACCATCTCTCAGTGATACGGAGTCGTCTTTGGATAATATCACACAGGGTGCCTTCATGTTTCCCCCGAGCGATCATGACTATGTCATCTGCATACCCAATGCAGTGTATTCCCGCTAGAGTTAATTCGTCTAGTAGTTCATCCACTACCAAGCTCCACAGCAAAGGGGAGGTTACTCCACCTTGTGGAGTTCCTTGCGTTGTTTTAACAGCTACAGTTTTGGTACCCATCTGAGCCTCTCGTGTTGACAGCATCTCCCAAAACCAGCGAATAATAGTTCTGTTCACCCCTCTTGTTTCTAGAGATCGCCTGACCACCTTATGTGGTATATTGTCAAACGCCCCCTCAATATCCAAGAAGGCACAAATTGCTGTTTCTTTGCTATCCAGACTTGTCTATATTAGCTCCGTTAATTGGTACAGAGCAGTTTCTGTGGATCTGCCCGTTCTATATGCATGCTGACTATCATGCAGTGGTTTAACCTTTATATGATTTTCTCCAATATGGTTGTCAACTACTTTCTTCAGCGTTTTTAGTATGAACGATGTTAGACTAATAGGCCTAGGACTAGGGATTTGTCCAGTCAGTTTTGCCTATTTTGGGTATGAAGATTGCTTTTGCTCTTCTCCATGTGGTTGGTATACATGCCATCGCTAGACTGCTTCTTGTAATGCTTAGTATATGGTGAGTAGCTATTTGCTGACCTTCCTTTAGAAGGGCAGAAAAGATCCCATCCACTCCTGCTGCTTTATAGGGCTGAAAGGTGTCGATCGCCCATTTCAGCTTTTGTTCTGTTATTACTAGCTTGGCCACTTCCCAATCTTCCCTGCAAGGCTTGTGGGGTTCAGTGGCAGCTACATAAGTATCAATAGGTATGCTACCTGGAAAGTGTGTATAAAGTAGGAGATTTGCTCTCCCTTCGTATTTCCTTTTTTATTCGTATTTAGAACTAGTTCCAATTTGTCTGTCTCACAAGGAGAGTGTTTTCCGCTTAAAAATTGCTTTATTTTAAATTAATAAATGTTATTTTTTATATATTTGTTTCCAAAAGTGAATATGAATTGTGATGAAGCAGGTAAATATAGGACTTTTTCATTAATCAAATTAATCTCGTTGGTTTTTTGAAGCTACGTCTAGTGAAAGGTATATTAACTTTTTTTGAGTCTTTTTTTTTTAAACGTCTAAAGTTGTTATGTGGTTCCTTGCATTTCCCGACAAAAAACTTTGATCATTTAAAAAAAGCCTTTCCTCTTCTACAAAACTTGATATTAAGTAGCCGCCAAATGCCGCCACTTTTTGAAAAAAATCTAGTTTTTAAAAAGTAGCGCAGTTTATTATTTTTTGTGACGTACATCTAATTAAGGACCTGCTGGAGATAAGATCTTCACCCGAAATCAACTTTTTAATCTGATGAGTCAACAAAATTTGAAAATATTTGACGAAAAATTGGTATTTTTGCAAAATTATCTTCTCACATATGCTTTTTCTGAAGATCAAAAAAGAGAAATTAAGCACAATTTTTCACGTTTGCAAGCCGAATTTAAAAAAAGATGGATAGAATGTCAAAACAAGGTTTTGGAAATACAAACGATGGAAACACCAGTCGCAGGTTTTTTGCCGATCCAGAAGTCTCCTCTAAAATTACCGGAATTGATATAACCCTTATTCATCGGTTTAAAGTAACTCTTGAAGTCATTTCTAGTGGCTATAGGGTGAATACACAAAAATTTGCCTGTTATGCAAGAGAGACCTCCGAACTATATGTAGCACTTTATCCTTGGCATCCAATGACACCTACTATGCACAAATTACTTGTGCATGGGGTAGAGGTAATAGAACATGCCATTCTTCCCATCGGACAGCTGTGAAGGCTGCCAGAAAGCCAGAAATACAACATATTAGATCTATATCGACAAAACTTTGCAGAAAGTTTTCTAAGAGAATCCATTAACTGGATATATTAAATCGTTTGCTTTTTTACTACCTTCTATTTTTATCATGACATATCCACAACCAAAGAAGAAAAAGACGAGAAAAAAACCTTTTCTAAAAGAAAACTTGTAAAAAATTCTTCCAGATGAACCCTGGCTAGCACAACCCTTAGAACCGAATCGTCTCCGACGAAGGTCATAGTGAAGAAAAACATTCATCAGATGAAGTTTCGTGGTTTTCCTCAAGTTCGGATTAAATTTTTAGTTGTAATTTTCCTTAAGAATATATATTTTTATTAAAATCTATTTTTTCGACATTTTTGTTTTAAAAAGTTAGTGAGATCTTTGAAAACAGCAAAAATTTTGACTCTTACATTCAATTCTGGTTAAAACCAACAAGTTAGTTACTTCACTATCCTCAGATATTTTTGACCACCTAAACTGGGTCAATAGCTCACCGTGCGACAGCTATAACCACCTTTATTTACATTGCGCTTCCATTAGTCGCACAAAAAGTGACTTTTTGGGTGCATGTTTTCTTTTTCGCTGCTCGAAAATTAGAAAGAAAACGTAAGTATTATTATATTTTGCATGTTTTAGATTAGATCGGGAAACTATACGTAGAACTAAGTAATCTTGTATCTTTCTGAAGTTCTGTAAACTTATTTGAACCATAATAAAACAAGTTATATTTGCAAAATAACTACTATTATTGCACTGCACTACAATTTATTGCAAGTTCCTTCTAATATAACTTTCGGTAAAAACCCGATTATCAAGCCCAGAGGCGGTCAATCAGGTGGTTCAGCAGCATTTTCCAGAAAAGATTCCGGCTCCAAAAATCTATAAACGAAAAACATATTTTTTGCGACGCAAGGAATGTTCGAAAAGAAACATAAGAAAAGAAACGCCGTGCAGATGCAAAGGATGTATATAGACGCTATTGCCGATCAATCAGTCGTTTTGTTTCAACAGTATCGCGTCGTCAGTCTACTAGCATTTTGATTATGGAGTGGACAGATGAAAAAGTTTTATGCTTAATAGAAAAATATCGAGAAGAAGTTTTGTGGAATGTGAAATTAACTGATTATAGAAATAAGACAAAAAAGTTTGATGCATGGGTAGAGTTAGCCGCAGAAGTGAATGTCTCCCGAGAAGGGGGACAATTCTAGATATCACTTGTTTTGATATTTTAAATAGATACATACATCAGACTAGTGTGAGTCCCCTGTAGCCAAAAATCGTAGTGTGACTGCCAGCCATTCATGTAAGGGAATCGCATCTCTGTAGTTGGTATTACGCTTTGCAATTTTAGGTCCAACTAAATTAAGTAAATACTCAAAATCAGTAACTGACATACGACAAAAAATTTTAAATCCAGCTGCATCATCGACTTTTATCGACTAAAGCAAACAATTTATGGTATCCTGTAAATAGTTCGCTAACAGAACTGCGAACTCTCCACAAACTGTTGACAAACTGACCGCGAACAGCGTATGTAGCTGTTCACGAACTGTTAGCGACAAGTTCGTTGGTGGATACGCACCTTAAGAGAGTTTTGATCGGTTTTGGTCGCTGTAGATTTAATGCGAGAAATCGAACTAAACCGCGCCGATTTCCCTACTGCGCTAATTGCCGTACCTATAGTCGATACTTGAGTCGATCTCAGGCTTGAGCATGGCCTTAGATGAAAAATGCGTACTATAGACGAGACTTGATCAAGAAAGCGACAAACTGCGCATGTGTAATTTGAGGCGTACTCAAGAACGGCAAGCACATTGCTTAAGTATTGCCACAGAGCAATATTTGGGAGACAAAACCACAGCTTAACAATTTATTTTCTTTGTTGATTTGTTTAGATGTGCTCTGTACTGCGACGCGACGCGTCATTCTTACGCCAACTGTCAAGGCAATCAGTTGTTTCTCAAATTTAGTTGTGGTCTGTTGTCTTTAGTTGTTTTTTATTTCTATTCTGTGAGTGTTATAATGAGATTACAGTTGAGGGTTGGAACCTTTGGTGTTACACAGCAAAATAAAAACACTAAATCACCACAATACACCAAAACACTTTTACTTTTACACTGGACGCGCGTTTCGCTAACCATGTTAGCATCATCAGCAGATGATTATAAACTAAAGTACAATCAACAAGTTGAGCGTTTTTATAATCGCTCAGTGGGCACCGAGATATAACATTGCATGAAAAAGATATAACATTGCATGAAGGTGAAATTTTGGTCTCCTTTGATGTATCTTCGTTGTTCCCAAGTGTTCCAATTCCACATACTTTAGGCTACTTGAAGGAATTACTGAACGCAAATGGTCTCGACAACAAAACTGTGAGTGAATATATTGAGCTTACATCGTTATGTATGAAACAAAATTGTTTTCAATTTAATAACAACTTTTTGGAAACAGCGGGAAGGTACAGCAATGGGTAATCCATTGTCTCCATTTTCGGCTAATTTATTCATGAGCAGCTTTGAAGTGGAGGCTAAGAATCAGTTTAAGTATTTTCCAAGAGTATGGTTTAGGTATGTGGATGATATTTTTGCTGTTTTTGACACACATTAAGACACCATAGATAATTTTATTTCTAAGTTAAATAATCGTTTTCCTTCCATTAAATTTACGCATGAAATTGAGAACAACGACAGATTCCATTTCTAGATGTATTAGTTATTAGAAATACTAATAATTGCCTGGAATTTGATATCTATAGGAAAAATACGACCACACGCAGATATATCCCTAATGAATCACATCATAGTGTTGAACATAAAATGGCTAGTTTAAATCTCTTAGTTTCCCACTTTCCAACGAAAGATATGAAATAGAAAGAGATTACATTAGGAATGTAGCTGAGTGTAATGGATATTCTCCTTCACTAGTTGATAAATTAAGTAGAAAACGTAGGTATAGGTTAATGATTTCTGAAAATTCGACTTTTCAAGTGGAGAAAGATACGTCTAAATATTTTTCGATACCGTTTGATAGAGAGTTATCCGTGGTCTAAAAGGAATTTTTAAGAATGTCAATTATAAACTTGTGTATAGTGCTAATAATAAATTACAACAATTATTAGGTAATCCAAAAGATAAAACACCTCCACTGGAAAGGTCGGGCATTTATGAAATTTCTTGTAAAGATTGTAATCAGAAATATGTTGGGCAAACTAGAAGATCAATATTAACTAGATTTAAAGAACATTTAGCTCAGATAAGATATGGTAGACCGGATAAATCTTGCGTTGCCGAACATATTGTTGATAAAGAACATTGTATAGATCTTAATAATTTAAAATTAATTAAACAAGTCTCAAATTACAGGCAATTAGATGCATATGAAAGCATCAGAATTAATAAATGTAAAGATAGTATGAACAGAGTTAACGGTCCAATTAACGGTCCAAATAGTGGCGGAAATCTAACTGTTACGCTCAGTGGGATCTGACTCGGTTGGCTAAATTTTGCCACGCCCACTCGGTGCCCACTGAGCGAGTATATAAACGCTCAACTTGTAGATTGTACTTTAGTTTATAATCATCTGCTGATGATGCTAACATGGTTAGCGAAACGCGCGTCCAGCGTAAAAGTAAAAGGGTTTTGGTGTATTGTGGTGATTTAGTGTTTTTATTTTGCTGTTATAATGAGTTCAGGTAAGTTGAAGATTTTAGAAAAGAATATTTTATTGTAGCATTATAATTTTGTAGCAAGTGAAAGGACGCCATACACCAACCATGAAAAGTTGTTGTTGGCGAATCTAGTGGACAAGTATCAACTTGTGCTGGAAAATAAAAAAACTGATGCCAGCAATCTCCAGCAGAAGCAGCGCGCGTGGGACAAAATCGCTGCGGAGTACAACGCCCAGGCCACAATGATAACCGTGAGACACACTGCTACACAGCTAAAAAAGCTGTGGAATAATTTAAAATAAAGGTACCTTTTTTGAAACTTGATTAAAGTTTATATTTATTACTATATGGTTCTCTTTGTATACTTTATTATGTTATAACCTTTTCAGAAACCTTTTAATTTTTGTAAAAAATGTTTTAGTCATAATAAATGCAAATATATATTTTTTAGGAAAAGGAAGGCTAATACGGAGGTGAAATACCAGCGCCTCGTTACTGGTGGAGGTCCAGAGCCTTCCGAGTCACAGGACCCTGTGATGGAAGCAGTTAGCGTGGCGGCACCACATGCAGATGTGATGATGACGTGTAAATGGGACATGATAGGCGTCTACGAGAGACAAATGGCAGAGGAAATGTCAGATGCTACAATGCAAGGTACGTTTGTTACATTTTCTTTGAAACCGATAATCTTTTATAGAAATTTTCTTTTTTTAACTTGTTAATTGTAATACATTTGTCTAATTATTATATTTATTTTTAGGCTATGAACTGGTTCTGGAAGAAGGGGAGGAACCAGAGGATATTTATCCGTCCACTTCTGGTAATTCTAAAGTAAGTTATGCTTAGCTTGATTTTAATTTAATTTATTTTTTAGGGTTGAGCATTAAAAAAATGGTCGATGCTACTCCAAAGACCACCACCTTCACAGCTGACCGTCCATTATGTGCTGCCAAACAAACGGCTAGTGGAACTGGTAAATAAATAATATACAATATTCTCGTATGGTATTGATTTTAATAATTGTGTTACAGGGCGACAAGGTCGGACTGCCCAAAAAGAGGCAGACATAAGGATGAGGAAGGTGGAGGAGAGCATCCAACAACAGCTCCAACTACGTAGTATTCGACAAAAAATTGAGGAGGAAAACCTGCAGGCAGCAGTTTTAAGGAAAAAAGTAGAGGAGGAAAACTTGCGGACAGCCACAGCATCGCGAAAAAAGGCCGAGATAGAGGCTGATCTAGCTATGCTACACATGCAATTGTTTAAAAATAAAAATATCTAAATAGATTACCATAAAACTTTATTGTTTTATTTTAATTAACAAGTAACAACATTATAGTACTAATAATATTAACAATCGAGCAATGTGACTATATTTCTATCATTATTTTAACCACAAAAATTTAAACACAAATTAAAGTAATGCTTATGACATTTATAAAAAACAAAATAAATTTATAAAATCATAAGGAAATTTTACAACCAACACATTCTTACTACAATTAATAATTTCTGATATCTCATGCAGTTCACTTGCAAGTTAGGAGAAATAACCCTGGAATTCTCTACCACAAAACCGATTTTAATAAAGATCTTTTGGAAGACGACTTTCACAGAAGAAACAAATCAAATTAGAGATTAGATTACACTCCTATGGAAATTCCACCAATTCGAGAGAGTTCTAAACCAATATCTGCAAAAAAGTATAACCACTTACAAAAACTTCTTAAATGGGTGCCGAAAAGATTTCACGACTTTTACAAGAAATTGGAATATGAACGAAGCGGAGACGACGAATTAAAATATTTGTTTATAATAAATGAATAAACTGTTTTATATGTTTTGTAAGCATTTAAGCATTAAACTAAGTATAATGACTCATTAGGTAGTATTTTTGCCCTTTCCATTGATCTAACATCCATATTCAGCCCTAATATGTATCAAACACGTTAGTCAAAACACGTTACGGTAACGGAAAAAATAAACAGTTTTTTAAACATAATAAGTTTAAGATGTATCATAAGCTTTTAACGCGCCTGTTAGATATTTCACGTTAAAAAGGAAAAAAGTTTTGTTGTTATTTCTGAGAGACAGTAAATGCATTTGACACCTGTGTACTACAAAGATGAGCAATAAATGACAATTTCGTAATTAATGACATTTGATTTTCAAATTTCATTGTAATGTTTTTTTTGTTTGTTTTACTTGTGTTCGCTGTTTGTGAAAATGGCTAAGCGCTTACAACGGACAACAGCTCAGCAATATAAATTTTATTAAAGAAAACCGGATTTTACTAATGGGTAAAACAAAACCCACCGAAGCAAAAAATATAACTATTTTGTGGCAAAAATTTGCTAATTCTATTAATTCTCAAGGAGTGGGACCCGAAAAAACTGGAAACCAGTGGAGAAAAGTAAGTTATTTTTAAAAGATATTACATTTTTGCAATATGTTTTTTTAATATAGTTTTGCATTGTAAATATTGCAGACTTTTACTGACTGGAAAGTAAACGTTAGAAGGAAGAGTAGAAGCATTGAAATTGAGTCTCAGGGTACTGGGGATAGATAAGATATGCACCCAACTCTTCATATATTTTTTCATGTTTAAATAAAATATTTTTTTAGATGGTGTAAGTTTTCCAGTTCTCCCAAGTGCAGACTTGGCAGAAACAGATAATTTAGTGGAAAACACTCAATTATCTACTTTGATGACGGAGGTATCAAAAAATAAGTTTTTTTCTTCGTTTGTTGCACCATCTAAAACAGACCCCAATACCACCAACAAGCCTAAAGAAACTACCCCAAAGAAGCGGAAATTACCCATGTTCGGTATTTTATTTATTAGTGTTTTGAAAATTTGTGCAAAAATTTTTTAGGCCAAAAAGAAAAAGATGGAAGTAGTAAATATACTTCAGCAATATTAAAATCAGCTTGCGAAGTATACAAGGAAGGGAACATTGATTGGACAAGAAATGAAGAAAAAAAGTAGACGCATTATAGTGTGACCAACGGATCTGTAGCTACGGGGTATCGGCAGGGAAACGCAGTTGTAAACAAGACACGCCCAATTTCATTCATAAAATAGGCATGGGAGTACGGTGTTTTATGAAAATAATGTGTATCATAAATATAAATTCTGATTAATATTTTTTTTTCAAAAAACTTTATCCTGTTTGAATCGTTACTGTTGAGTTAGCAGATAAACACACTAAAAGCTTGTATTAAAGCTCCCCTAAATATTTTAAATAATTTTATTATTATGTGTTGTTAATATAATAGAAGAAATAATTACGGCTGGGGGGTGGGACCTTTGGTGTTACACAGCAAAATAAAACACTAAACCAGCACAATACACCAAAACACTTTTACTTTTACACCGGACGCACGTTTCGCTAACCATGTTAACATCATCAGCAGATGATCAAGACTGAGTCTTGAGGTATATTTATTTACATATCTGTACTAACTATATTTTTTTCTACAATACATAATTTTAGATATAACTATTTCCAGCAAAAAAAAAATCTTGAAAATAGTTAACTTTGGAAGCGCAAACAAAACATAATTTTACTCACCAGTAGATCCAATATTGCCTATTACACCAGATATGGTATCGCTCCGCCAGCACTTTTTAAAGGTTAGGTCATTGTCTACCCATGTTTCATCCAAATAGATAATACTTGGCGATATTTTCGAATTTCGCGATATATTTATATCTCTCTCTGCAATATAATGAGCCGCTCCATTAATATTTATCTGTTATTTTAACATTTACGCCAAAAAAATCCATTTGATTTTAATAACCCCCTAAGCGTGTCCCTGCCAAAGGAAAATTCGATTCTTCCTACAATTTTTGCAAAAGCTTTCTAATTGTGGGGACGACTTTGAATTCGAGATAAAATCTATTTATCAAATTCCTGACCACTTGGAAATCAAAGTCGTCGAGCTCACGTAGCCGTTTCTTTCCAGGGCTGGATATCATTTTATCGGGGTTAGTTTCCAGTCTTTTTTATCTTCTGTGTGAATATTTTTATTGCCGATACGAACTCCGGTATAAAGAGATATCCGCTCAAGTTTACGTTTAAGCGGCAACTTAAGCGAACTCTCTGTAGCTTCTTCGTCGCAAACCCTGTTATGAACACAAGGAAATAAACCAAATGTTAGTTTAGCTAAAATATGTTAGTTTAGCTAAAATATTTAGGTAAAATGTGGGTGCTTTTCATTTTAGCCAATATTTAATTTTAGTATTCTAATAATTACATTATTATTATTCTACTTACCTATATAAATTAGCTATTATTTCTCTTGTCCTGGCTATGTAGCATCTTACCCTTAACAAATTTATTCATTTTAAAACACAAATATACGATCAAACTTAATATTAATAATTAAAAACTACGAACGAAAAACATTATAACAATATAACAAAACAATAAAACACATTTTAACTATTAAATATACGAAAAATATAGGAATAAAGTTTAGGATAACCGGTATAAAATAATGAAAGAAAGTAATAATGATCAAAAGAATGACACCGCCACTGGATATTTCAATAGTATTCAATATTTCTACTCTTTTCAGAAGTAACGGTTGGGGATAAGGCTAGCGAATAGGAAAGGCGTAAAAGCCATGGCAACCGCGTGGTAACAAATCCTGTGACGTACTCTCGCCAATCATGTTCGATGAATAGGCGGCCATACGCGGCGATGCCGGTTTGCCAATGAAATCGTTGAAAAATCTTCACCTTCCCTAATAAGCAGATTATACAGAATGAAAGAAATAAGTTTTTAAATAAAACATATCGAACAATATGAACTACGTTAAAATTCCTTAGTAATATACGTCAGAATATATGCTAAACACATTATATATAATAAAAATATATGAAATTTATAGTTCATATCTAGCAATTTTGCAATTTTATAGATAAACGTGGCAATATCGATTTTTTTTTCTCGCATTCCTTCCGTAGCTTCAGATCCGCTGGTCAAACAGTATTTTTGATTTCGCAATCGTTAGAAGAAACTGCAGCAACTATGAGGCAGAGAAATAAAATTGAATTAATTAGATTATAAAAAACATTTTGGTTCTTTAGATGGTTTCGATGAGCTTAGTAATTAATAATAGTTTTTATTTTTCAAAATAGTTTATGAAATGTTGCTTGTTTATTGAAATGAAAAAGTTAACCCATAAAAATAATAAAAAATGAGCATAAAATGATATTGGACTTTTACTATAGGCCATTTTATGGGCAATATATTATTTTATTAGATATATTTATTATTTTATTAATCTCTGGGCAATGTTCGAACTAAATCATGACAGGTATTATTGTGTTTGAAAGTACATTATTTTCTACAGCCCTGCAAATAATAATTTAGGTGAATTTATTTCTTGAGTATATTGGTTTATACCTTCTAGAGGCTACTCTATTATTATTAACAAATGAGGCCACATGTTCGTATTTGCTATCTTCAGGCAAGTGGTAGCCCTTAGCCATTTATTGCCAACCTCATATCCTGAAACGTTAATCATTAAAGCTGCCTTTGGATGTACATAATGTAAAACAGTGGTGTTTAAGTAGAATTTCTTTGTTTCAATACTCCGTTTTGTGTTTCAGAAATGTGTTACGACTTTCGTGAACCATATTAAAGTTATCTTCAGGAGAACCTGGAACTGGATTTTCATATGGAACAAGCAAACAAAGGTTCTAGGGGATAAATAGCATCTACCTGAATAATTGTGCACAAATTAATATTAAATGGGAAAATATATTTGGTTTCTCATACCAATTAGCCATATGGATTGTAATTCATTGTTAACAAATAATCTTTTTAGATGCATCGTTGAGAGTCACGAAGACCAAATAGATGCTAATAGTGACTGCCAACAGAATCGGAGCATCTCACCGATCCAAAATACGAGTTTGATCATGATAATATTATTTAATGTTTTATTATAAACGATGTTCACATATGTTAAGAACTTTTGGCAATACATTTGTACATTTAAACTATAGTAACGACGAGCCATTATCAACGCCTGGTCTAATAGCGTCATCGTGCCGAAGAGAGCAACTACTGTATGGGTGCAATCGATTGTGCCAATGGTTTATGTATTCCAAACGTTTCATAAAATGGCGCTAATGATATTTCTAGAAAAAACATTTATAGGAAAGTTTACGTGTCTATAATCCTGTAGCAAATTTTGAGAAACTGCTTGACGATAATGTGTTCCAACTTATGATAGAGCAATCAATTATTTACTTCACTCGAGAGA